CCCCCGGGGGCTTCCCCGGGGGCCCCCGCGGGGGCCCCCCTGGGGGGCCCCCTGGGGGGCCCCCTTGGGGGTCCCCCCGGGGGCCCCCCTGGGGGGCCCCCTGGGGGGCCCCCGGTGTATATGCCGCTGTGGAAGTATTTGCTGCCGTTCTCTGGGGACGGGGTGTACGTACACCCGAGGCTGCGGTGTCCGCCGAACATGACGAATAGGGACTTTTTGCATTTGCTGAATTATAAACCAAGATTTAATGTTTGCTTCGGAGAGGGGCCCCTGGAGGCCCCGAGCAGCAGCAGGAGAAGCCCCGCGCCGGCTGCTGCTGCAGCAACTGCAGCAGCAGCGGCAGCAGCAACGGCAGCAGCAGCTGGACGCAGCGAACGCAGACTCAAGAGCCACCACTCCGCCAGACACAGAGCTGCTGAGGCCCTCGGGGACGAGCTGCTGCAGCAGCACGCCCACCGCCACCCCAAGCAGCGGCAGCAGCAGCAGCAGCAGCAGCAGCAGAGCCTCCGGCTGTCCTCTTTGCCCGCAGAAGAAGCACTTGAGGAAGTAGAGGAAGAAGTTGTTATTGTGGACGGCTCCGCCTCAGGTTAGTTTAAAGACAAACAAACTGCTGCTGCAGCAGCAGCAGCAGCAGCAGCAGCGGCTGCAGCAGCTGCTGTGCGGCCTTCTGCCGCTGCAGCCGCACAGCGCCAGTGTGCGTGTTCGGGTGTATGTACACTGCAGATGAGGGAACCCCCAAGGCCCCCCGTGCTGCTCCAGACAGCAGCAGCAAAAGGAGGCCCTCAAGTGCCTTTTCCCAGGGACAAGAGGGGCCCCCTAGTGGGGCCCCCCTCCCGGGGGGGCCCCCAGTGGGGGCCCCGGGGGAGGCCCCAGGGGGGACCCCAGAAGAGGCCCCCGGGGGGGCCCCCGGAGGGGCCCCTGGGGGGGCCCCAGGGGGGGGCCCCCACCGTAAAGGGGCCCCCGGGGAGGGCCCCCATGCTAGGGGGGCCCCCGGGGGGGCCCCCCGGATGAAGTCTGGGGCGTCTTTGGAGTTTCTGTTTTCTGGAGATGCTGAAGGAGCTGAAGGAACTCCTTGCAGTCATTTTTCTTTGTCTAGGGAAGGCCATCATGATAAGTGATGAGTTATTTAATTTTGGATTTATTGATATATTATTTATTGTTATTAATTGCAATTAATATATTTATTTACTTATTTATTGTTTATTCATTGTTTATTTACTAATGGAGATTGTGCGTGGGGGGCAACTTAAGGGAAAATGTGCCGCTTTTTGCTGCTGAAACGCCGTGTTGATGTGAATATGTAAATTCACATTTCCTTTTTATTTATATTTTATAATTTGTATTTTATAATTCATATTTTATATTTTATAATTTGTATTTTATGTTTTGCATTTTTATTTTTCGTTTTCTGATGGACTGTTATGTGGGCAAGGTGCTGCGCGCGGCGCGCAGTTTGGCATTTCTTTTTCTTTCGACTCTTCGATTTATCTTTTTTAGAACTTGCAATAAACTTAAAAATAGAACAAATGAATAGACAAATAAATAAATAAATAAATACTTAAATTGAACTTCGTCCAGCGAAGACATCCGCAGCTTCAGTTGCTGTGTAGGTAGTTTCTGCCGTGTACGTACAGTGCTGTGTAGATAGTACTCTTGTGCATGTTTCTGGCGTTGCGGCTGTTGTTAGCTCATTTTATTTACTATTTTTATTTATTTTATTGTAATTTCATTTATTTATTTTGTTTTTATTCACTAATTCCCTTTGAACAGTACTTTTGGCAGCCTTGGCAGCCAGGTGGTGACCCGCCAGGCAGCAGCACAGAGCCTGCAGTTGAAGCCTCGTTGTTCTCTTCCTTTTAAAATTCAAAAGAAATAATAAATTAGAAAAGAAAATATAAAAATAACCTCCACAATTATAATTAAAAATAAACTCTAAAAACAAAAGAAACAAAGAATCTGTACCCAATAAACCCCGCCTAGAGCCTAACAAACGCTAAAACCTGGGCAGAGCTGCAGAAACCCTAAACCCTCCCTCCTCCTCCCTAGAACAAACCTCAAACCCTACCACCACTATAAACCCCAGTAAACCCTAATACAAACCCTATTAAACCCTAAACCCTACCACCACTACAAACCCCAGTAAACCCTGGTACAAACCCTAGCAAACCCTAAACCCTAAACCTACCACCACTACAAACCCCAGTAGACCCCAGTACAAACCCTAGCAGACCCTAAACCCTAAACCCTCGCTGGCTGGGGATCGCTGCGTTAGTGGCGTTTAAAGAGAAGGGCGATGAGTTGTGGGAGACAAACGGGGCCCCAGAAGCAGCAAAAAGAAACTGACTGAAGGGGGCCCCCCAAGGGGGCCCCCCCTTTTCGAGAGGAGGGGGGCCCCCAGGGGGCCCCCCTCTTCCTTCGATGCCTGGCGGCGTTGTTCATCATGTTCATCACGAGGCGCCTTCTGCTGCTGCGATTCACCGTTCCTACCGTGCTTTGCTGCTGCAGCAGCAGCAGCTGCTGCTGCAGCAGCAGCGCCGGGGCAGCAGAAGCAGCAGCAGCAGCAGCTGCTGCTGCTGCTGCGCCTCTACAGAAAGGAAGAACTGCTTCTTCAATCTAACACATGCGCTACGTAATAACTTCCAACAATGCAGCACAGCCTTGCTCGCCCCGCGCACCTGCGGCTGCTGCTGCCGCAGCAGCAGCAGCAGCAGCAGCGCAGGAGCAGCAGCGCAGCCACAGCAGCTCACAGAAGTCCAGGGTTGTGGTGAGTAGTGCATCATCCGCTTTATTTTATTTCTTATAAAGCATCGTGCTGCAGCAGCAGCAGCAGCAGCAGCAGACACCGCATCTCCACCTTGTCCATATCAGCAGCACCAACAAAGCCTCCTTGATACAGAGAAGTTGTCGCACATAAGGCTGCTGCTGCTGCTGCTGCTGCTGCAGCAACTCAAAGCCCTCCCACGAAGAGTCCTACATAGAAGTTGTTACATACAAAGCTGCTGCACTTCAAAGGCCTCGCTAATAATTTATAATATAAACATAATATAATAAATATATATAATATATATTATATAATACATATTATATAATATATATTATACATAATATATATATATATTTATATTATGGTATATATATAAGTCATATAAATTGTTATATATAATAAAGCTGCTGCAGCTCCAAGGCAGAGGGCGCGTGGCCATAGAGAAATTGTACACGGAAGTTTGCTGCTGCTGCCGCTGCTGCTGCCGCTGCTGCTGCTGCTGCTGCTGCTGCTGCTGCTGCAGCAGAACCACCACTTCAGCACCCTCCTCGGTACAGACACTCCGCGAAGTTAAGAGCTGTAGTGACAGCAGCAGCCTCTCCACCGTACAGAGCAACAACCACACCACTTCTGCTGCTGCTGCTGCTGCTGCTGCTGCCGCTGCTGCTGCCGCTGCTGCTGCTGCCGCTGCTGCTGCTGCAGCATGGAAGCTCCCATGATAAAGATTCTCAGCGAAATAAGTGCTGCAGTGAATGCATCAGCTTTACTTGTTTCTCATCATCATATAATGCCACACCACCACCACTTTCGCTGCTGCTCCCGCCGCTCCTGCTGCTGCTGCTGCTGCTGCTGCTGCTGCCGCTGCTGCAGCACTTAGAAGCCTCCCTGGTACAGATACTCCGCGAAGTTAAGAGCTGTTGTGAGAGCATCAGCTTTGTTTTGTTCTTTTTCTTCATCATACAAAGCTATAACAACATTTTCGTTTGGAGTTTTAATCAAAAACCCTCCGCCTTTGTTTTTTCCCAGAATCGCCACATCATAGTTTTGGTCGTTGAAGGTGAAGTCCCTTTTCTGCAGCACAAATCCACTCTCCTGATCTTTTGCTGCAGCAGCAGCAGCAAGAGCAGCAGCAGCAAGAGCGGCAGCAGCAGGAGAAAGAGCGGCAGCAGGAGAGCAGCAGGAGAAAGAGCAAGAGCAGCAGCAAGAGCAGCAGCAGGAGAGCGAGCAGCAGCAGCAAGAGCGTTAACAGCAGAGCTGCTGCAGCACCTGCGCGCTTCTTACAACAGGGTTTAATTAGGGTTTAGGGTTTGGGGTCTTTGGCCACAATCACGGCACTAACGAATGCATTCAAACAACAACTCGACGTAAAAAGCAAATCCACTCGAACGAAGTCCCGCCCACACCCCTTTCTAGGGTTTAGGGTTTAGGGTTCCGGGTTGGGGCGGAGCCCGCGGGCGGGCTCGGCAAACGGCGCGGAGGCGGCCGCGGAAGCGCGGAAACCCTAAAAAAGGGTTTAGGGTTTGCTCACGACTTCGGCGAGCTTGTACTTGGTGCCGCCGATGTAGACGCCGTTGGGCGCGCGGCCGTCCACCACCGCCTGCCGCAGAGTCTCCGCCTCGTCGCAATCCACTGAAATGGAGGTTCCGTCTTCCTGGGGGACTTCAATTTGGTAGTTGGTCTTGACGAGTTCTTCCCAGGCGTTGCCCTCGCCCTCCACTGCTGCTCCGAAGAGCCGGCAGCCGTCGGCTATCTGCAGCAGCAGCAGCAGCAGCAGCAGCAGCAGCAGCAGCAGCAGCGGCGGGGGCGCAGCAGCGGCAGTGTGCGGCGGGTTGGGGGGCGCGGGGTGTTTGTGCGCAGCAGCGACGCGGCAGCAGCAGCAGCGGCGGCAGCGGCAGCAACAGCAGCAGCGGGTCAGGAACTCCCGCTGCTGCTGCTGAGGCCGCCCTCACTTGCGCGCGCGCTGCTGCCTCGCAGCAGCAGCAGCAACTGCCGCCGCAGCAGCAGCGGCTGCAGCAGCTGCTGCTGCTGGCTCGCGGCGGGGTGTGCGAAAGGCCCGAAGCGGAAGCAAAAACAGCAGCAGCAAGAGCAGCAGCAGCAGCAGCAGCAGCAGCAGCAGCAGAACTCACGCTAGCAACGCCGCCGGCGAAGACCCTGCCGGTGTCAACCAGCCACTCGCGGACCGAAGTGTCCCAGGCCTGGGTGTCTGCTTCTCCCATTTTGCAAACTAAATAGAAAATAATTTGGAAAAGAAAGCAAAAACTGGACAAAAAAGAGCTTTTAAGCTTGCTGCTGCGGTCTGAGAGCAGCGCCGCGGCTGCAGCAGCAGCTGCTGCTGCTGCTGCAGCTGGCCGTGTGCGGGAGCAGCCGTTGCTGCTGCTGCAGCTGACAGCCGCACCAGTCCGAAAGCACCCGCGCCGCCTCCGCAGCAAACTGAAAACTAAAACCTTTTCTAATTCCAAATTTGAAAATCTTTTTCTTTTTTAATTTCCCTTTTCTTCAACTTCTCAGCTTCCGCCAAACTCTAACGCCTTCCGCCGCGCCAGCAGCAGCAACTCGGAACCACCAGCAGCAGCAGCAGCAGCAGCAGACCGCCCAGCCGCAGCAGCCGAGCCGCCCACCACCCCAGCGCGCCGCTCGCTCCTCCAAAATCCCCAAAAACTTCTTTTCGCTTTTATTTCGAAGAAATAAATCCAAAAAGTAACTCCAATTTCGCCAGAAATCTAAAAAGTCCGCGCGGAGTGCTGCTGCAGCGCGCCAGTTAGCAGCAGCAGCGCCGTCACTGCTGCTTCTCGCAACCGCGAGTGGCGGCTGCTCTGCTGCTGCTGCTGCAGCAACTCCCCCCTTCACTTCGCTTCCACTTAGCCTTTTAATCTAGTTTATTTAGAGCAGTAAATAGAAGCCCGTGCTGCTGCTGCTGCCAGCTACACCAGGGGGCCCCCGGCCACGTGGGGGGCCCCCAGCAGCACGCAGGGGGGCCCCCGCCAGCACACACGCCCCAGACGCAGCACAGAAGCAGCAGCAGCAGCAAACTGCTGCTTAGGCAGTCTTAATGTGTCTTTAGAGCAGCAGCAGGGGTGCCCCGGCCATGGGGGAACCCAGGCGGGGCCGCAGCTGCAGCAGCTGCAGCAGCAGCAGCGGCAGCAGCACCCGTAGTGTGCACTGCAGCAGCAACAAAGACAGCAGCAGCAGCAGCAGCAGCGAATCAGGTGTAGATATTGTCGGAGTTGGAGTAGTCGCCCCTAGGGGGAACTGGGCCCGACGCCGTAGAAAGCTGCAGCAGCTGCTGCAGCAGCAGCAGGAGATACGGTCGGAGGGCGAATTGAGCTGCTGCAGCATCAGCAGCAGCAGCAGCAAACCCAGCAGCAGCGACAGCGACGACTGCATCTTGGTTGCTGTTGCTCACCGGCAACAGCAGCAGCAGCAGCAGCAAAATAGGGGCGCAGCGTTGAGTGCGCTGCAGCAGCTGCTGCTTAGCCCATATCTAGCAGCAACACTTCTTGCTTTGCTGCCTTCTGCTGCTGATATCCGGGCGTTGCTCGTAGCTGTGGGGCGCCCTGCTGCTGCTGCTGCGGCTGCTGCTGCTGCTGATCCTGCTGCTGCTACTGCGGCGGCTCAACAGCCGTCGCAAGAAGAAGGAGCTGCTCATGATGCAGCAGCAACAGCAGCAGCAACAGCAGCAGCAACAGCAGCGCTCTCAGCTGCGGCTTATAGAGAACTTTGCCTCAGGCGGCTCTCTTCTACCAGAGCCTCCAATAAATTTGCTGCTGCACTGCAGCAACTGCAGCAGCAGCAGCAGGCAGTAGAAGCGATAGACAGAGCAACAGCAACACCAGCAGCAGCAGCAGCAGATGCAGCAGCAGCAGCAGCAGCAGCACAAGAGGGACCAGTTCCGCCCGAAGCTGCAGCAGCAGCTTGGCGCCAGGTGTTTTGGGTGTATGTACACCCCAGATATTGCGACGCCTGCGGCAAAAAGATGCGAGGCTCTTCAGCAGCAGCAGCAGCAGCAGCAACAGCAGCAGCAGCAGCAGCAGCAGGTTCAGGAGGCGCTGCAGATCCCGGTGCTTCTGCTCCTCCAGCAGAAGGGCGGGGAGCAGCAGCAGCAGCACCAGGAGTAGCAGAGTCTGCAGCAGCAGCAGCAGCAGAGACAGCAACGGGAGAGACAGAAGCAGCAGCAGCAGCAGAGACAGCAGCAACGGGAGAGACAGAAGCAGCAGCAGCAGCAGCAGCAGTGACACTGTGCAGCAGCTGCTGCAGCAGTTTGCTGCCCCGCAAGGAAGCAGCTTTTATCCTCCGGCGGCTGCGCTCTGACGAGCTGCTGCTGCAGCAGCACCTGCGTCACCGCCGCCGCAGCAGCAGCAGCAGCAGCGGGTGCAGCAGGCTGCTTTGGCCGGAACAGGCAGCAGCCCAAGCAGCAGCAGCAACGACAGCAGCAGCAGCAGCAGCAGCAGCAGGCTGGTGCCTCGGGGGACTCTTTGCTGCTAAGGATTTGCTTTCAAAGCTGCAAGCAGCACATCTTGCTGCTGCTGCCAGCATAAAGCGCCGTTTGCTGCAGGGCCTCAGCAGCAGCTGGCTGCAGAGCTGCGGCCCCCTCTTTGTCCGGCAGCACATAGCAGCAGCAGTTGCTGCAGCAGAAGCAGCAGCAGCAACTCCTGCTGCTGCTGCTGCTGCTGCTCAGGAAGAGCACCCAGGGGACCCCTTAGCTGCTCTCGCCTGTTTTGCTGCGGAAGCGCAGCAGGACGGAGCTGCAGCTGCTGCTACAGCAGCAGCAGCAGCAGCAGCAGCAACAGCAGCAGAAGCTGCTGCCGCTGCAGCAGAAGCTGCAGCAGAATCCCCAGAAGGGGCATCGCCAGCAGCAGCAGCAGGTGCAGCAGAAGCCCCCGCAGCGCCAGGCGCAGCAGCGCAGCAAACTGCAGCAACGACTTCCGCTGCTGCAGCTCCTGCTGCTCCTGCTGCTGAGGCTGGCAGCAACTTCTGCAGCAGCGCAGCAAAGTCGACGCACAGGGAAGCCCTAGGTGCTGCTGCTGTCTCCTTTTTTGCTGCAGCGCAGCAGCAGACAGCTCGAGGTGCTGCTGCTGTTGCTGTTGCCTTGAGGGGGCAGCAGCTGCTGCTGCGCGCTGTGGGGCCCAGCCGGCTGCAGCTGCTGTCGCTGCAGGCCCCTGCAGCAGCAGCAGCAGCAGCGGAAGCAGCAGCAAACGCGGGCTCAGACGCTGCTGTTGCTGCTCCTGCTGCTGCTGCTGCTGCAGCACTCTGCGATTTTAGCCGTGTTGAGCCTTTCCGCTGCAGCAGCCTCGCAACGCTCATTGCCTGCTGCTTTGCTGCGCTGCTGCGACCTTTGCTGCTGCTGCTGCACCGGGACGCAGCAGCGGGAGCAGAGCAGCAGCAGCAGCCAGCAGCAGCAGCAGCAGCAGCAGCAGTTCCCCACTTTGGACTGCGCCTTGACGACTTCTTTTGTGCTGCTATGGCAGCCCAGAGGATTGCCAAGAGGTGAAACAAAACCCTAAACCCTAAACCCTAAAACGCAAACCCTAGGCTTCGTTTTCTGTCCTAAGTAGTGAGTCGTTTTAGGGTTTAGGGTTGAGGGTTTAGGGTTTGGGCATAAGGGGCCCAGGGCCTTGTGGTTTAGGCTGAAGAGCGTGAGCCACGTCCTCAGGGTTTAGGGCTTAGGGTTTGGGGTTTAGGGTTTAGGGTTTGGGGTTTAGGGTTTAGGGCTAAGGGCCACGACAAAGGGTTTAGAATTGACAACCAGCCCACAGGCTTTGAGGTTTAGGGTTTGGAGTCAAGAGCTTCCGGTTTAGGGTTTAGAGTTTAGGGTTTAGGGTTTAGGGTTTAGGGTTTGGGGTCAAGGGCTACAGCTATAGCGTCTAGAGTTTGGTGCCACGGGCTGCGGGTTTAGGGTTAGGGGCTGCGGGTTTAAGGTTTAGGGTTTAGGGTTTAGGGTTTGGGTGGAGGTTCAGGTTTTTCCGGCTGACAACGCATGCAGACTTGGGGGCTTTGGATATAATGTTTACAGAATGGACTGCAGCAAGAAGTTTGCTGCTGCGGCGCTGGCTGCGGCAGCAGCAGCTCAAAGCTGCTGCTCCCCGGCTGCAGCAGCCCGCAGGGGGGCCCCCGGGGGGCCCCCCTGGGGGGCCCCCCAGGAAGAAGCGACAAGTGGAGACGCAACAGCAGCAGCAGCAGCAGCAGTCAGAGAACGGCAGCTGCAGCCAGGTAGCTGTGCCCAGCAGCAGCAGCAGCAGCAGCAGCAGCAGTAGCAGCAGCAGCAGCGTGAGCGCGCTTTCTGTTGCTGCTGCTCTGCGCCGCAGCAAAGGAAGTAGGGGAAATCGGCAGCTGGCTCATCCGTCGGCGGTGGCAGCTCTTGCTGCTGCCCTCAGCGGCAGCAACAGTAGCAGCAGCAGCAGCAGTAGCAGCAGCAGCAGTAGCAGCAGTAGCAGCAGCAGCAGTAGCAGCAGCAGCAGTAGCAGCAGCCCCGGCGCCACCGAGGCAACTGGAAGAGCAGCAGCAGCAGCAGCAGCAGCAGCTCAGGGCGGCGCGCGTCGGCGTCGCAGCAGCGGCAGCAAGTTGGGCGACGATGAGTCCTCAGTGGCAGCAGCAGCAGCAGCAGCAGCAGCAGCAGCAGAAACGGGGGACAAGGCTGCTGTGACTTTGTACTCTGCTTTGCTGCTGGAAACTCTTTACTTTTTTCTGTTTGACGCGAAGACAGAAAAACCCCTGAGGCCCTATTCATGTAAGTTTCAAAACCCTAAACCCTAAAC